AACCCTGTAGGATTAGGGATAAGATTCACAATAAGTATTCTAGTATTTAGATCACAGTGAATCACATCTTCTACATCCCTGGCCCTTTGAACAAAGATGGTTCACCTTCCCAAATTAGAGAGAGCACAGAAACGCCCAGTCTAGGCAGCAGCACCTTCCTGGGTACCCACGCCATCTGTCGATCCCTATTATTTACTGCCATGCCTCTTTGATTCTTTAGCTCCATCATGTTCATACTCCTGCAATTCACTTTAGGTCCTCCCACTCTGGCAGATCTCATATGAATCAGCCTCTCTGGTTTACCGACCTTGATCCAGTCCATCCTCATTTTCAGTTTGTACATCCCTTGCCTTCAATGCAAGTACCACTTCTAGGAGCATATTTCTGTGTCACTTGTGACCCTAAATACCCCCTCATGGAGGAGAAGTGAGAGGAAGGGGACACAAAAATAGAGAAGTTTCTTGTCTTCATATGGTGCCACACGGCTGTGGTATATTTAGAAACAGCACTAGGATGCAGACTTTCACGGGGTCAGTGTACACAGGCTAGGATGGCTGTTTCAAACCTACCATCCTTATAGTAAGAAACCAATTGCTTGCCAAATTTTAGTTTAAGTAAATCATGACATGAGCAATAAGACAATGGTTTTTACAGGCAAAACTTTATCAGCCCCTTAATTCATAATAACGAATAAAAGCATGTTTTTGGGGTCACAAAATATCTTAAAAGTTTCTGCCATTTGGGAATCTCTGGACTCAGAGATCTATCTTTAAACTAGCAGCTCAGATTGGATGGTAATTCAGTTCTATGTTGAGATTAATTACTTGAAAACTATACCTACTATAGAAATAAAGATGAAAACCCGTGCCTGGGAATCAAAGTAATAAATGTTCTCAACTTCATATGTCTATGTGTTAGAGCTATGTTTTAAAATCGGATCACCACTAGCTGCATGTGGCTATTTAATTTATTAAAATTAAATAAAATTTAAAATTCAGTTCCTCAGTCACAGTAGCCATATTCTGAGTGCTCAGCAGTCACAAGGGCTGGTGGTGCCCATATTAGACAGTGTAGACACAGAGCACTTGATCGGCTCAGAAATTTTAACAGAACAGCCATACTTAGAGATTCATTCTATGTTTTGCTTTTCTGTGTGGACTAATGTACATTAAGTAAAAGCTAAGTATTTTTACAACATGTGCCTTATACAGTATTTACACAATAGGTTAACAGGACTGTCAAAGCATTTAAAAACTTCATAAACATCATATGCAGTTCCTTGCTAAGCTTGATTTTTCACACCCATCTTTTAAAAATTCCTTCCATTTTGACAGCTTAGGAACACACTAATAATTTTTTTAAAGAAGATTTTTTTCTTCTTCACATGTAGACTGATGAATCAAAGCACTGTGTTTTACTGAGTAATTAGTCCTTTAATAATTTACGTGAGTAATGGGTCATTTTGGGGTTTAACCCCTACTTCCATTATTCCTGACCAACGGTTCACCAACAGATGTCTCACTTTGGATGTACACAACAGAAGCCCAGGATCTGTTTCACGTACATCTGTTCCCAAACGGCTTAGGCAGATTAATACTCAGAATGGACCCAGCTCTGCTAAGTCCCAGTAATCACTAACCCTTGTTGTTTTAAAATTGATTGGGTTTTTCTCATATTCACATTTTTCCACATTACCTTTCATTTTGCAAAGTTTCTAACAAATAAATGTTTATGTAAACTTAAAGCATGAGAAAATCATTAGCTCCCTAAAAAAAAGAAACACTTCCAAGATTTTATTTTGAAGCCCATCCTTTTCAGATTTCCTGGTTATTTCTCTAATTCAGCTGACAAGGGCATGGTAGGAATAACCCTTTGAAAAAACACAACATGAAATGGTATAATGTGAGGTAGTAAGTCGAAGAATAACAAGAGAATTGTAAACCATAATTAAGATTTGAAACCTTCATTGTATTTTTAAAAAATATTTAAAACATAATATTCTCATGATAATCAAGCATATTGTAAGATCCTTGCCCAGGAATTTAGTAAGAGGGTACAGGAAATGAAGTTGAAGAAAGGATAAGTTAGTCCTTTTGTCCATCATGAAAAATCTGCTTAAGACTAGCCTTGACCCATGATTTTCTATCAGAAAATGGTTGGTTTCTTTCCAAAGACAGAATCTGTGCTGAGGTAACAGTCCACCTCTCATTATCTGGCCTTGAAGCCAGGGAAGGGGAGCAAGAAACTTGGCCCATATTTTCCACGTAGTTATTTCAATTAGAAATTCATTAGGGCTATGAAGCTTTGTTGTAAAATACAACTCCACACATGCCAGGAAGTTGATCATTGAAGCCTTACTCAGATTTATTACCACGTCCTAACATCGAAAACCTCTAAAAATGGATATTTTCTAAATGAAACTTCAGAGTTGACGATTCTTAGAGATCATATAATGCAAATGCTTCGTTTTGCAGATGAATAAACTGTCATTTAAAGGGGTTAAATGATTTGCCTTGAGTCAGTTTCACCCTTAGGTGCAGACAGGACCTCAGGTCCCTTGGTGCTCACTCCTGAAACCTTTCCTTCACAGATGGGAAACTACAGACAGCTGGGGTAGAGAGCCTGTAGAATATCCTGTGGTGGTCATACTTCAAGGTGCTACTCATTAGTAAATGGTAAAGGTGCCCAATGTGAGACAGCAGAGAAAGACTTGTGGGCATGTGGCATTCTGGTCATAGAGATCCATAAGTTGATCATTCTGAAGTGTACTTCATATGAGCTTCATATATATGTACTTCATATATATATCTATATGAGCTTCATATAGTCTAATCCTACTGATTGCTAACTCTCCCTAGGAGTAGATTTTTCTTTATGAGAAAACCTGATAACCAAATCTTACAGTACAGTAAGCAGATCCTGCATTGAGGATGCACAAAAATGCTCGTACTTTCTGCTTCCATCTAACATTTCAAGTAGAAGTTTACCACTTGGTAAGCACATATTGCTAGAAGTTTGTCCCTGATTGAGATTTAGAATCATGCCCACAGGCCATCAGCAATCATTTTGAAAATGCTGAACTCTGAAAATATCTGATCCAGTAACAAGATAAGCTAAGGACCAAATGACAAAACACATATATTGGTCCATGGCATTTGCCCACATTCCCTTTCTGAGCTCTCAAATTTTTGACACCTTACGCCTGGTCCCAGGCACCATGCCGGGGGCTAACACTGTGGCCTGCTCTGCCTATAGAGTCTTGTGACCCAGACACGCCTGACCTTTCTCATTTGACCTGAAAATCCTCACCTGACCCCTCTTCCATTTCTTCAGGATTTCACACTACCCTAGGGCACAGACAGCTAACTTGGTAATTGACATGAATAAACGCATGATTCCGTAAGTAGAACGACCATAATTAGAGATTCCGATAGAAAGATCATTTAGGCACCACTGCAAGCAATAATGAAGTTTTCTGAGCAGATGATGCCCTTTTGTGTATACAGTTTGTATTACAGATGTGACAGCCTGGTCAATCCATGCCCTAGTCATAGATTGCTTTCTTTTCCATCCTACAGCTGAGCATCTGACCAAGATGCTCACAGTGGAGAAGTGGGCCCACATTAGCTGAAGAATGTTTTTGTAAAAAGAGTTCTAATGCTTTAACAAAAGGGGTGGGGGATATTGCTACAGGTGATCAAAGGTTATTAAGTAGCAATGTAGTAATCAGATTACAATGAAATGAGCAAAGCTAAAGTTCATGAGACTAGTTAAATTCATCCATGTAACAAATGTTTATATGTCAGGCACTCTTCAAAGTGCTGAGAGTAAACAAAACAGATTTTCTGATCATCCTCCCTCTTCTCCAGGTAGATCCCATCTCTAGGGGCTACATCATCAGCTCAGGGATTCCAATTTGGTCTGAATTATACAACCAGTTTTCCTGGTTCTGAACTTTGCAGATGGCAAAGAACAGCATATCTCAGCCTCCATAACCTCCAATTCCTACAATGCATGTGTTAGTCAATCAATCATGTTCAATTCTTTGCAACCTCATGGACTGTAGCCCACCAGGCTCCTCTATCCATGGAATTCTCCATGCAAGAATACTGGAGTGGGTAGCCATTCCCTTCTCCAGGGGATCTTCCTGACCCAGGAATTGAACCCTGGTCTCCTGTATTGCAGGTGGATTCTTTACTGTCTGAGACACCAAGGAAGCCATAATCAATTTCATATTTTACCATAATAAATCTCAAATATATATAAATATATTTATATACATTGTATTGTCTGTGTGTGTATATAAACACATACACATATATATATATATATATATATTTTCACAGTTCTCATTCTCTGAGGAATTCTACTACATGCCATTATAAATAAGGCAAAACCCAGAGAATGCAGAACACTGAGTGAACCCTAATGTAAACTATGGATTCTGGATGATAATGATGTCAATGTAGATTCAATCAGATTTAGCAAAAATACAACTTTGGTGGGAAAAGGTAAGACCTTGGTGGGAAATACTTATAATGGGGGAGGCTATGCATTGTGGGGAGCAGAGGGTATATATAACTTCTGCTTAATTTTGCCCTGAACCTAAAACTGCTCTAAAAATTAAGTCTATTAAAAAGAAAAAAAGAAACAACCACTAAGGCATTATGAGGTTTAAACTGAACGGTCTTGCAAACATTTCCTATGATGATAATGCCCAGCAGCAATCCAACCCCACCCCTACCCTTTCCTGGAACAGCCAGGCACTGGCCAGCAAGGGACATGATCTCCCCCAATGTCCCCCCACACCACCTCCTTCCAGGTATGGCTGAAGTTTCCCTCCATTTCCTGAATCAATTTCACTTGCCTTCCACCACACCCAACTAGGCTAATTCCACAACAGAGAATATTTCTCACATTTAAACATATCTCTTAACCTTTTTAAACTTTTCCCACTCTTATTTTACTAAGTAAAATAAAGGTTTAATAATTAGTTTCTCCTGGCCCCGGAACCCACAGCGGCAGGCAGCTGGGGGTGGGGGGGCGGCCCTGGTGTAGGGGCTGTGGCGGTGCCCGGGGACCCGGTGCGGTGGTTGTGGAGCTGACAAGAAACTACTGAAGTTCCTGTGGACGCAAAGTAGAATTTCAAAAGAACATGATGGATGGAGAAGAGAAAACCTATGGTGGCTGTGCGGGCCGTGATGCCATGTATGTCAAGTTGATATCTTCAGATGGTCATGAATTTATTGTAAAGAGAGAACACGCGCTAACATCAGGAACAATAAAAGCCATGTTGAGTGGCCCAGGTCAGTTTGCTGAGAATGAAACTAATGAAGTCAGTTTTAGAGAGATCCCTTCACATGTGCTATCGAAAGTATGCATGTATTTTACCTACAAGGTTCACTACACTAACAGCTTCACGGAGATTCCTGAATTCCCAATTGCACCTGAAATTGCACTGGAACTGCTGATGGCTGCAAACTTCCTAGATTGTTAAATAAAATAAATTATAATAAACTGTTAACTCTTTTTCAGTATTTAATACCTGTAGTTCAGTTACTACTTTTTTCATATATAGCATGTTGCCTATGTGCAGCTGAACTTTAAAGTTCATTGCAAAAAAAAAAAAAAATTCATTGCAAAGCAGATTATCTTCTGTTCTTTTGCATAGCAATCAGAGTTGAAGTTTGTTTGCTACATCAACAAATTAAGGACATTTTCACAAATTGAGAAATAAACAAATATACCAATTTGTAAAAAATAATAATAATAATAATTAGTTTCTCCTAAAATATAAGTGCTAAGGTGGTAAGCTTTTGGACCTCCAATATTCAGGGGCCCCGAGTGATATTTGCATACTAGGTGTTAGTTACAAAGAAAAGGTGGTACATCTAAATGAAGGCAAAGAAAACATGTTTTAGGTCAAAATTAAAGATCAACACTTGCGACCTCTAGAGTTGTAACTATCCGGATGTCTTTTAAACAGCCAGGAATACTAATTCAGCCTACTTTTCCTCCACCAGCACTCACTATATAAAAGAGCATTGTACTGCTTCATACCATCATTTGACTTTTCACGTACCACTATTGCAACATAGATTTGAATACTTCATTTCGCAATGTCTCACTTTATTCCTATAGTATTTCAGCTTCATCATAGGTTAAAAATACCCATGCAGGCCAATTTAAGCTCTAACAGTAAACTTCTATGGCCCCCAAATTCGAACAGACTTAAACAGAATTCTATGCCCATATCTCTAGTTTTTAACTCAAAGATGTAGAATATACACCACCTTGCTTTTCAACACACCTGCAAACATTTTAAATTAAATATTTTAAATTAAAGTCAAAGGCAGTTTCAGTTAAGTAAGATGACCGCATCTGGTCCCATTACTTTATGGCAAATAGATGGGGAAACAGTGGCAGACTTTCTTTTGGGGGATTCCAAAATCACTGCAGAAGGTGACTGCAGCCATGAAATTAAAAGACACTTGCTCCTTGGAAGAAAAGTTATGGCCAACCTAGACAGCATATTAAAAAGCAGAGACATTCCTTTGCCAACAAAGGTCCAACTAGTCAAAGCTGTGGTTTTTCCAATAGTCATGTACAGATGTGAGAGTTGGACTATAAAGAAAGCTGAGCACCGAAGCTTTTGAACTGTGATGTTGGAGAAGACTCTTGAGAGTCCCTTGGACTGCCAGGAGATCCACCCAGTCCATCCTAAAGGAAATCAGTCCTGAATATTCATTGGAAGCACTGATGCTGAAGTTGAAACTCCCAATACTTTGGCCACCTGATGCAAATAACTGACTCATTTGAAAAGACCCTGATGCTGTTAAAGATTGAAGGCAGGAGGAGAAGGGGATGACAGAGGATGAGATGGTTGGATGGCCTCACCGACTCAGTGGACATGAGTTTGAGTAAACTCCGAGGGATGGCGATGGACAGGGAGGCCGAGCGTGCTGCAGTCCTTGGGGTCGTAAAGATTTGGACACGACTGAGCGACTGAACTGAACCGAGGCGAGCACCTCAAGTGCAGCAGAAACTGCCCATCAGAATGAGAGTCCCTGACTAGTCCGCTTTGCTGGGTTTTTGTACAAGGAACAATATTTGTAAAATAGTGACGTTTCTTTAGTCTTTAAGGTAAACAGCACATTGTGGCTTGTTTTCCAACAAAGGAAATAAGGGGAAGGCATTTTTAAAAAAAGTTTCCTGAGTTATCATTTAGAAGAAAGGTTTACTATATTCCAAGGTTTCCCCTACATCATCTCCAGACTGAGTCTTGAAATACTTCTATTGTACAGAATTATAACACTCTCTAAATAGTTTTAGGTCAAAAGGCAAATACTCCTAAACAACACGATGATTCCAAAGTCCATATTAAACACCAAAAACTTCTAGAACTTGGACTTGATTTGAGACAATGGCAAGGAATGTGAGGGATGGAAAAGTCCAGAGGGACCAAAAGCTCAGGTGAGATTTTCAGAAGACAGCAAAAGGAAAGTTGGATTCGGAACCCACGTGTATACTGTAAAACGCTTTTGCTTGCAGCGTCGCCGCAAGCCGTTGAGCAAAACTCGGACGTGGAGGGGAGGAGGGGATGACCTTCCCGCGTTTGGAAAACAGCGCCCTTTGGGGGGCTCGGGGGAGGGGGGCGGAGTGTGACGTGGGTCCCGGGACCGCAACCCAGGCGGCAGGAGCGGGCAGGCAGAGGCCCCTGGGGGCGGCTCAGGCTCCCCGGGTCTGGAGGGAGGAGGTGGCGGCTTGGGGACGCGGTCGCCCGCTGGGACAGAGGAGGAGCTTGCGGGCGGCGGAGAGACGGCGCCGGGAGGAGGGAGTGAGGCCGGGAGGAGGGAGTGAGGCCGGGAGGAGGAGAAGGCGCGGGGACCTTCTGAGCAGGAGCACGCACCTGTGACACGCTCGGGGCGGATGGGCTGCCACCTCAGGGCCCGCTCGCTCAGCACCACGTCGCAGCTGTCCCTCCCGATCTCGAAGATGCCCCGGAGCAGAATCAGCTCGGCCGCCGCCTCGGGCTGTTGCCCGGACGCCCACTGCGCCGACGCCAAGGCACCCGCCGCCGGGGGCGCCTCCTCCTCCCGGCCGCCAACTCCCTGGAAGGGACCCCAGTGCTGGAAGAGGAAGAAGTGGCTCCCTCCACCTAGTCCCTATAGTTCCTTGAGATTTTGCGCATACGTTACCCTCCAAAGTATAGGCCGGCGCTTCTCAAAGGTGGACTTGCCTCCTCCCGGCCTCCGCCCCGGGCATCTTGTTAAAATGCAGATTCTTACTGAATTGGTCTGGGACTAGGTCCCAGACGCCGTTTTTAGGAAGCTCCCAGGTGATGCTGCTGACCCTCGGAACACACTTTGAATTGCAAGGACATAGCCCTCTGTTTTTCCACCTGGTTTTCCGCGGGCTCCCCTGGAATGCAGAGGTCGTGCTTTATAACCACGCTTGCGTGTCCTCAGGAGTTAGCTGATCTATATGCAGCTGGTAATAGAAAACTCAATCCCCAAAACCCTGAGAGAAAGCCAAAGATAAGTCCCTGGTTCAAATAGACAAAATTTCGTTCTAACAAATTTAATGTGAAAGGAAGATGCGTCTATAAAAGTAAGTATTAAGGGTCCCACTTTCCCCCAAGATATCTCTGCAGCCTTGTCTCTGCCTGGATCTAACCCTCCCCGAAGAGAGATGATAAGCATCGGGGCTTGTTCTCCTAAAGGTTACTGCTGTAATACAGCATTACCTGGAAATGGGGGGTGGGGGGGCACTATTTCACGATAACTGAGATTCATGACATTTGCTGTTAATTTGGAAAGCGCAGAGGCTACTGGTCTGTGGTTCTCAATCATGACTGCACATTAGTTACCTGGGGAGATTTTTTAAGTCCAGATACCCAGGCTACACTCAAAGACAATGAAATTGTAATCTCTGGGGATGGGACAAGACTTCAGGAGTTTTTAAAGCTCTCCGGATGATTGCTGTGTTCAGCCAGAGCTTAGTATCAGTACTAAGCAGCGTATTAATAGGAAATGACAACTTGTGATGGTGAGACAGGGGGAAAGTGAATTCTCCGCAAGAGGATCAGAGTGGAAAGTAAATCAGCAGGCCAATCTAGATATATAGAGATACACACAGATACATCGATACCATCAGAATAACTGTATTGAGGAAAAGCTGGGGAGAGGAAGTTAAATTCATTGAGTGGTGAATCTAGCTCCACCGTGCTGGTGCCTAACCAGTGACTTCTGAAAGGCAGTTGCTTCTCATTCTCCCCTTGGGCCTCAGCAGGCGGCAAAGAAAGACAGAAGCTAATGGTAGCAGGAGGAGCTTCTCAAATTTCCCTGCTCAAACTTAGATTTCAAAAACCGGAGGATGGAGACCGTAGACCTAGCCAAATCCCTTTCAGATACAAAGCTCCCGTGTGCCACTTAAGCTAGGAATCTCATGGTTTAATGCTCTGAACACAAATACCCAAGCTTCCAGGCAAAGCGGGGAAGAGCCCCGGTTTGATCTAATGGCAGCGAGCTGTCTCTTGGGGTAGGTGCAGCGCTGCTTGGCCCCATGCAGCCTTCAGGTGGTTTAGCTCAGCACTCATTAGTGGGGAAGGCTAGTGCCTTCAATAGAGTGAGTTGCAATTCTGGAGTCAGCATCTTGTATTCACAGCTGTCAGGAAATCAACACAATTAGAGCTCCTTGGCATTTTAAAAGCTCACTGAAGGCAGTGGCTACTTCTTAGGACCTTTGCAAGAGGCAAGTTGCCATTTTTCAAGCTTCTGTCAGGCCAGACAGCCAAAAACATTGGCTTTGCCTTTCTTGAGGATGAAAGCACTGCTGATGTCCCATTCTCTTCCTTTGATGGACTGTTCCCTTCCAGGGATCCATCCACAGAATCCATCTACACCAGCCTCAATACCACGGCTTTACATACTATTCAGGGCTCCTCAAGTGATGTGGTCACCCCCAACCAGTCCCCTGAACTTCAGATGCCATATCCAACTGCCTACCTTTACTAGTTGGCCGTTGAACAAGCATCTGAAGTATAATGTCTAAAACCAAATGTGATTTTCTATCACAAACCTGTTTCTCCCAAAATGTTCCAAATCTCAGCAAATACTGTCATCAAAATCCTTGACTTCATCCATGTTTCCTCTCTTTGTGGTGAGAAATATAAAGAAAACTTTAAGGTATATTTCATTTCTTCGAGTCAACATATATTTTGGATGAAGTGAGCTTCAGTTGTGTCCGTCTCTCAATAATTTCTGAGCTAAATGAGCACATTGTCAAACTGTCAAGGGGACTGCTTCCCTCTCATGCTGAGTGGAGATTTTGTGAGAATGTTCCTGCTACTCGGGCTCCTGCTGCCTAAAAGGTAGAGGGCCATATGTCCCTGCAAGAAGTATACAGAAAACAGAAAAACTTGTACAATCCCACCAAGTCAGAATATCACATTTTCTTCATGTGCCAGTTTTTTTTTTTAACTCACATTGAAATTCTGCTGAAAATGAATTGCTAGCTGTGTTTTAGAACCCATCTCAAACAATTATAGGATGACAATGACCATGTAATCTCTAGCTTCCTGGTAAACAATAAATAACACAAAAGAATAGGCCTGTCTTCCCTTTCCCTCAAGTTTTGAAAGCCCCTCAACAAAGAAAGCTGAGCACCAAAGAATTGGTGCTTTGGAACTGTAGTGTTGCAGAAGACTCTAGAGAGTCCCTTGGACTGCAAGGAGATCCAACCAGTCAGT